TTTATATTCAAGCCTTTTATATGAAATGTTGACAGCACTGATTGTCAACTAAATCTTGAATCTATAGAAGCCACACGTCTGCTCAAAAGTGCAGAATCGTGAAAGAGCACTATAATTAATCCTATTTGAAGAAAAGTAACATGGTACAACATTTGTGGCTTAAAGTGAAGAAACACCTCAGCCTATATGTTCTGTGGTTAACCAGGACTAGGGTTGCCAACTCGAGAACAGAAAAATAAGGGACACCATTTGGGTTGAGCACTTTTGTCCTAATTTCAATATACACAGGAATCATGGAATTTCATATTCAGTTTTTGACTACATATAAAGAAAACAAATCCGTAGTCAAAAATGAAATGAAAAAATAAACAGGTGGAACTCTTTGGCTGGTTAAGGACTTAATGCATGCTCATTGTTCATTACAATTATAGAAAAAAGTATTGATCATTTCGAAGAATTTGGTTAACAAGCCGCTTTTACAAAAAAGCTATTGAAGATTAATATTCATATTTAATCATAAAGAATATGAAAAAGAGACAAATGCTGAAAAAAACTTGACTGTAAAAAACAAGTAAAAAACATATTTATTCATTTAAAATATTAAAAACCCCCTCAAATGTTTAAATCAAAGTTTGTAGCAGTTATATATGGTCATTATTTATAGTGGCTCAGCTATTGTTTGTTTACAAAACTGGTCTTGACATTTGTTGATGCTCCCTCTGCACTTTTCTCGGCGCTTGCAGCGCATTGGATGCAATGGATTATAATGGATTGCATTAAAACATTGCATTTCAATAATAAATGTAGTCCGAATTTGGGAATATGACGCTAACTTTACTAAACTTCTGTCGTGATGATGCTGGTGGCGCTGCCCACCCTTTGAATCTGATTGGCCAAAAGGTAGATGCTTAAAATGTGATTACTGTGTCTCTGTGTGTGTCGCGCCTGCGATGTGCGGTGAGTGAGTGATGCATTAAAGACTCTGACAGGACATAAGCCGTCCCTTATCGATTCAATACAACGTTTTTATAAGATATAGGACAATTCTATATTTTAAGGGACGGTTGGCAACCCTAAGATATGATAGATCCCTGTGATATTTACAGATCATCAAGATCACAGGCGGACTTTTCTAATTGTGTTTTATTATTCATTACAATTCCTAAAGACATATGTTGTTTAACACATGAGCCTTTGGGGTCACGTAGGAGTTTCAATCATAAAAAATATCAGACAAAGCAGGTGACGGGGTTCTGAATGTGAAATAAGATGATGGCTCAGCCAGAGTACTTTTAAAGATTTATTCCCAAAATAAAGAATAAAGTAATTAAGAATAAAGTATTGAAGTATTGAAGTATTGAAGAGGAGTGCTGTACCGAAAGCAAACCAGTGATTAATAAACATATTTACAGTATTTACAGAAAAAAACCACATTGCAAGAAGGCCACCTCCTCTGTCCCAGTTCAGACTCACACTGACACTGACAGTAGAGGCTGGCCTAGTCTTAAACCCCTCTGGCTCCTCCTACATGTCAATTAAGTCATAAACTTTTACAATGAAGGTGCCCACTTACTCTGGGGTGGCCAGGGAATTTACTGGTCCATCATTTGGCGTGATTCTTGTTGATCTGACCAGATAAACATGTTGGAGTTGGTTGGAATTTGGTGGAGTTTGCTTTATCTGGGATCTATGGAGGAGTTGATGATTTGCTGAACACTACAGGTTTGCAGTATCACATTGATTTTATTATATAGGTTGTGAGCTGGCAAAGCTCAAGGGCTCTCATAAAAGAGCCAATGATGGTAAATTCCCGTGCCCATCTAGGAATGGGGAAAAGCATTCTGAAAATACATAATTCGTTGTACTCAAAAAAGGGAAACATTCTCATACTGGATTACTCCTTCACAGTCAGATAAAAATGCACACAGAATCAGAAAATTACACATTTGTGTGATAGACAACTAAACATATTCTGTGTAGCATATTCTGAGTACACTAAATTAAATTCAAACAGTTTTTTGATGCTTGAAAACCTTTGACCAGATTCAGTTCCCATTTGGCAGGGGCTGAGCGAGAAACACCATGTGGATTACACTCTCAACTCAGACAATGGACGAGACGAAAACACAGGAAAACAAACTAATTCTGAATCAAAATATTTTTGATCCATACTATTTGCCAGAAATTATATTTCGTTACATCATTTTTTTAAGTATTATAAAATTAATTAATTTAAGATAATAATTACATTAATTATTGGGCGGCACGGTGGCTGAGTGGATAGCACTCTCGCCTCTCAGCAAGAAGGTCCTGGGTTCGAATCCCGGTTGGACCAGGGCCTTTCTGAGTGGAGTTTGCATGTTCTCCCTGTGTCTGCGTAGGTTTCCTCCGGGTGCTCCGGTTTCCCCTACCACAAAAAATATGTACAATAGGTCTGACATGTGCCTCCTGTACTGGCCCCCCCACTCCCAAAAAATAACAATTGTAAACCGCTTTGAGACTCCGATGTGCAGTGAAAAGGCGGTATATAAATAAAGATTACTACTATTTCTTATTTTAGCAAAATCCTCTATTCTAGTCTACTCTAGTCTATTGGCTCAATGCATTCAACTGGAGAATTAATATTGTTTTCAGCAAAGTCAAGTTTAATTCTACACAATGCATTTAAACGCCTGGTTCATCATATTATATATTTAGCCTTTAAGTGAATGACAACTATATTTAAAATTTTGAACACAAGATCCACTTAGACCCGTCTATGTTCCCTCTCACTTCTTCCTGATTGAGACAAAAAAACATTGGTCAAAATATATTCTCCTTGAGCAAATCTTACTGATGGTAGTACTGCCAGGAAACTATTAAATATATCATAATTTTCTATATTTATATATCATGGTCAATTGGTCAAAATAAAATCTGTATTCTAAAAATGATATAGCGACAATTCTAGTTTCTGAAATCAACTTTTGACTTGGCTTGACTGCATTAAAGGCATGTCACTGCATGTTGTAGAATGCAGAATGCAAAAATAGCCTTGAAAGTCATAAAGATTTCAGAGAGATGCATGATGTATCATTAAACTCAGATGAAACTTGATCAGTTAGTCAATCTACTAGTAAACTAACCGGTATACTAAAACCATATTCAATGAAATAGAAATAATTGAATACAATTTGACAAGACATACTAAACAATAAAACAATTCCTTACTTCATATGAACAGTAGCAGAGACTAATATTTTCTAATACTGTCACACATTCTTTTTTATTGAAAAAAGGTCACAGGTTAAGTAGAGTATTCTCATTGATGTATCCAATAGACAATGTTTATGGGTGGCCAAGGTCACATTTTTGAAAGGATGCCATCATTAACTACGATACTCACCACATTTGGTATGAGTCCCGTTTTAACTTGAGGTGAGTCAAAGGCTGAATGTATATAAGGGAGGAACAGAGGGAGAGCAGACACTGTCAGCCACTTGGGACAGCTGGTAAGGTATTCTCTATTGTGTTTCTCTCTGTTTGGATAAGGACATTCAGTGTTCATTCAGTTTAACTTTTTACAGAATTAAGGGACATTACATCCTCTCGGCACAGTCAAGTGTCAGGTAAGTCAACTTCACTGTCTGTAAGAATGAATTGTTATCCGGAAATCAAAGAGCAATTAGTGATATTCAGTGCAATTGACTTCTTTGCAAAAAAGGAAAAAAACATGCTAATTATGAGACGTAAAATATAGAGAAAAGAACATGATTAGTAACAATTTGTGATCTTCTTTTTTACTGTGATTTGTATTTCTGGTTAATAATGATCAGGAATCATATTTTTGGAGTTAAAAATCCAGGAAGCAGAATAACCTCACGTGAGACAATTATTTGTGTCGCCCATTTCATTTCAAAGGTGAATTCCAGTGAGTTTGGTCACTAAACATCTGCAGCATTGTGCAACTGAAGGCACTGGAAATACCCAATGTAGTTCTAATTTTAGTTAGAGATAATTTATTTTGTTGATATTTGAAATCGGCCTAGACTCTTCAGGGCGAAAAGGCTATAATATATGTTGTACCTATATTTAAAAGAAATAATGATAATAATATTTTAAAAAGTCCTCATCCCTATATTTAAACACAATTAGTGGGTAACCATAAAAATATGTAAATCAGACGACAGTAGTCAGCTATATTTACCTTTGGTCCAGTCCTTTTTCAGTTGATGAATAATTTTGTTTAGAAATTTACAGACCCATAAAAAATATCCAGACTCAAATTAAATACAATCATTAATCTGTTCAAAATCCCTCCATAATGGAACGTAAATCGTTCCATTATTCCATTAAAACGTAAATCCCAAAAAAAAAAACTATAAACCTGCCACAAAAAAGAAAAACTGAATTTCTTTATTTGAACGTTTTCTTCTCTTTCCATTCTTTAAAATACAACTATCTTCATCAATATTCATGAAGGCATTATGTAACGACATGTTAATTTGTATTAGCAAAAGCTCTTGAAAATAAATTGCTTTTTAAGTCGGTCCTCTCAAAGTTACAAAAGTGGCCACAGAAACGACCATATGGATTAAATTCTAATTGTAATAATTTCTATAATCAGCAAGATCACAAATCCAGGAGTATTTGAATATCTACGATGTTACCGTCCAACCTATTATTACAGAATTCTTTGATTAATTTTGTTACCACTCATCTGCACCTAACCCAATCAGCCATAGCAAGCACATTTAAACACATTTATCGTACTCAACAGCGAACAACCTTCCTTATTTGAATTTAAACATTTTTGCGGCTTTCCACTAAGCTTCAGCTAGCACAGCCACCCACCTCCCCATGCACATCTAGACAGTTTCACTTTCATAGTCCCATTATTTCTGCTTTGGTCAAAGTATCCATCTTTGTATGGACAAATACAAATAACAAAAATCTTGGTCTATATTCAGCATTATGGTAGGATAAAGTGTACATTCAATTTATGCAGTAATTTTATCAATCTATTTTCTTACAGAAGACACTTGGAGCTGCAGGTCATTCTTTTCCTGCAGAAGGGAAACCATCTTCTCCTCAAGCTCCTTCTTCTTGGCAAGTGCCGCAGCCAAGTCAGTGGTCATCTTCTCATAATTCTCCTTCATATTGGCAAGTTCCTTCTCAGTCTCAGCACTCTTCAGGAGGGGCTTGATCTTATAGTACACCTTCATCCATGGCCAGTGCTTGACATTCATGAATGAGCGGATATTGTACTGAATGGTGTAGACAGCCTCCCTAGAAAACATTCAATAAACAGTCTTATATACATATGCAAAGGCCCAATTAAGTAATATTTTTATACGGCTCCTCACAGCAGCAGTAGAACGCTCCATTGATTTGAATGTAATTTCAAAACGTTCTACCGGTCATTATTTTCTATAACGGACCTCTCAAAACAATAATGACCGCTGCCCATGGCAACGCACTCTCTGCTTGTATTTCCGATGTGTGGATAACTCTGCAAGTAGTTCCAGCCACTCCGGAGCCAGCCACGCTCAATAAACGCAAATGCCAATCAATCAACACAATGAAATGTTAATCGGAGAGTACATTATACATATACAGTCTTAATACAAGTGCACGAAGGTTTTCAGAATTTTCCATTAACGTTTTCATGACAAAAACACTGATGTAATGTAATAAGTAGATACCGGCACATTTTAAGAGACTGGCACATTTTCGAACACATTTTCAGAGGACCGAATTATGGATTTAGGTTAGGTTTATGTATGGGTCACTCACCGCTGATGTTCAGAATTCTTTGTTCAGTTTTCATGCAGTTCCAGGGAATTCTAGTTTGGAAGTTGCCAGCCTAACTGTTGCTAGCATAGCCACGGGAAAGCCTTTGGGAACTATTTTATTATTTTTTATAGGGCGGAAGCTTCGCCCTGTCGGTACTTATTTTCCGATAATGACCTGCGTAATATACGTTATCCCTTACGTAAGCAAGTTTAGAAAATAAAATTATCAGACAAACCTTCTCTCCATCATCTTCACAAACTCCCTTCTCATGAGGTATCCACGGCACAAAGCCTGTGTCATTGTGACAAGACTTGCAAGTTTTTCATCTCTCATCTCCTCAAGAACACCTAATAGACCAGCTTTGAAGAACACCTATAACATTATGGAAAAACAATGCATAACAATAATTACAATACATTATTCAAACCTCGTTTGTGTATTCCATTTACCTTAGTGTGTCCAAATTTATACTCATCATGGTTGACATCAATGGATCCCAGCAGCTTCTCAGAAGCCTTCTTGTTGTCAATGAACTGACCGTCAGGGATAACACTGGCATTCAGTACCTTGTATCTTGTAAAAAAGTAAGACAAAGGAATCCAAACTCAAAACTAGACACATACATTATTTTCTTCTGTTTATATTCTATAGATATATTTATTATAAATGCTACTTTCACAAAGTTCACTTATACCTCTGCTTGAAGTCAGCATACATAATTCTGCTGGGGAAACCTTTTCTGCAGATTCTAATACCCTCCAGTACACCGTTGCACCTAAGCTGGTGGATGACCAGGAAGTTCTCCATCAAACCTGGGACAATTAGAGTTATTAGTGACCTGAATTAATATGGACATTAAAAATAATAAGAAAACAATAACAACAATCATATATACCTGGAGTCTTAGACTCATTGGGAATCAGGCAACGCACAAAGTGAGGATGAGTGCTCCTCAAATTAGTCATCAGCTTGCCCAAATTCTCCTGTAACAGTTAATGTAATTACTTTGACTTAGGGGAAAGGGAAGAAAGGTCATTGTAATGTACTATATTTGAATTCACACCCTGAACTGTGAGGACACAGTCTGCATAGAACCACCCTTCTTCTTGCCTCCCTTGCCTCCTTTGGGCTCTGTTTTAGTAAAAGTAAAACACAATATATTGTTATTTACCGTCATTGAGAATGACAAACTAAATTGATAGCATTTGTGCCTTCACCTTCAACAGCCGGGGGATACAGAACAGGCATAAGTTTGACTGAAGATTTCTGGTACAGCTGGATAACAGACTCGTTCAGGGGGTCCTTGTTCTTGTCCAGCCAGCCAGTAATGTTGTAGTCCACAGTTCCAGCATAGTGCACCAGGGAGAAGTGGGCCTCAGCCTTGCCCTTGGCTGGTTTAGGCTTCTCAAACGCCTTGTTCTTGCCAAGATGTTGATCATACAGCTTGTTCTTAAAGGTTGTATCTGAGGCTTTGGGGAACATGCACTCCTCTTCAAGGATGGCAAAGATGCCCATGGGCTGGTTGATAAACAAGACACGTTTTGAAATGGAAGGACCTACTTACAGTTCATTGAAATCCCAGGGCTTACCTTTTCAATCAGCTCAATGCAGGCAGCCAAGTCCATGCCGAAATCAATGAACTCCCAGACAATACCCTCCTTCTTGTACTCCTCTTGCTCCAGGACGAACATGGTGTGGTTAAAGAACTGTTGCAGTTTCTCATTGGTGAAGTTAATGCACAGCTGCTCCAAGGTGTTGAACTGTCAACAACAAATATTACATATGAACATCCAGGCTTGAGTTACATTTTGTTAAATCAAAAATGAATAAAGATTACATCAAAGATTTCAAAGCCGGCAATGTCCAAGACACCAATGAAATAGTTTCTCTGTTGCTTGGTGTCCAACATCTGGTTGATGCGGATGACCATCCACAAGAACATCCTTTCATAGATGGACTTGGCCAGGGCAGGTACAGAATTCATCACCTAAAAGAACTTGGTGTTAGTAAACTTTTATTCACAGCAGGGCTATGGTGATTACTCCTGATATATTAACTTTACCTGTGGCACTGTCTGTCCCTTGGTGACAAACTCATTTCCGACCTTGACTCTGGGGTAGCACAACGCCTTAAGCATTTCCGCAGAGTTCAGACCCAGCAGGTAAGCAACTTTGTCAGCATCTGTAAAGACCATGAGGTGTGTCTATGAAACAAGGCATATACATAATGTACATTTTCCATCTCTCATGGATGCCCCATGAGAGATGGAAAATGTACATTATGTATACAGTACGTTTACTGCATGAAATACTATCTGCAAATAATAATTGTATGCCTTTTAACACTTTTGACCGAAAATGTGACAGGAAATGTTGTACTCATCATCATTGAGTTCAGACTCAACTAGTAATATGCAGCATTTTGGAAACTGTTTATGAAATAATGATACAATAAAAAAGGATAAGGTTAGGGACATTTCTCTTACCCTCAGTGCCATCTGGTTCAGCCTGCTCCTCACGCTGCTTTTGCTTGAACTTCATGTTTCCGTGGTGGAGGACAGCACCTGTCGTTTTGTAGATGCTCACCTTGTCCTCAGCGGTGAAGCCCAGGATGTCAATGGCATTCTAGTTGGATATATGTTTCCATAAATATTTTTCAACTTTCAAATGTTTTAAAAATGTTCTATGATTCCTGAGTGAATTACGTCAGTTGCATCCAGCTCCTCTTTGTCATCAATGCTAGCAACAGTAATTTGACCCATGCTGCACATGGGGAAGTCGTATGGGTTGGATGTAATGAGACACATTTCTGAAAAGTAGACCATATGACTCTGAGCTCAACAAGAGAATACGAGATTTGTTTGTTTCATTATCTGCATACCAATGATCTCAGGCTTGTGGTTGGTCATCATCTGGAAGAAGATGTGGTAGCCTCTCTCCTGTTCAAGCTGGTATGTTACTCTAGACTTCTCCAGCAGATCTGTGAATGAAAGAAATAGTATAGTTCAAAAAACATGTTTTTGTCTTAATTCTATTGCTCTCACTGAAAAATCCAACTTACAAGTTTCAATATCAGCACTAGCCAGTTTACCAGTTGTGCCGAAATGAATTCTGATGAATTTACCCTAAAGTGGATGAAAGTCATTGTATTCTTATATATCCATATACATTTTTATATCAACAGAAATACAGAAATAATACAAGACTTACAAAACGAGAGGAGTTGTCGTTTCTCACAGTCTTGGCATTACCATAAGCCTCCAGAAGTGGGTTGGCTGCAATAATCTGATCCTCCAGGGAACCCTGCAGAGGAAATGACTGTCCTATTTGTATCTTTGACGTGTAGAATGTTTTCTATTCAACAGTAACTGAATAAAAACCAACCTGTATCTTTGATGACTGTTTTTTCTCACCACCACCAACAGAGATTGTGGCAAAGTACTGAATGACACGCTTGGTGTTCACAGTCTTTCCAGCACCAGATTCTCCGCTGTGGATGAAAATAGACTTGTAAAACCAATGACCAATCTATGGAACTATTCAAGAATAATTGATGACTTACGTGATCAAGACAGACTGGTTCTCCCTATCTATAAAAATATACAATTACATTGCATCAAAACCTATCATTATATTTCATGTTTTTAATGTCAATCCTACTCACCACAAAGCATGAACTGAAAAGCGTTGTCAGAGACGGAGAAGATGTGGGGTGGAGCCTCCATACGCTTCTTGCCTCTGTAGGCATTGACGACTTCCATGTCGTACACTGGCAGCCACTTGTAGGGGTTGACAGTCGCACAGAACAGCCCAGAGTAGGTCTGAAGATATAATCACATAAACATGAATTTGACTGTTCTTAATACAGTGTTCACAAATGTGAAATAAATGTCTTACGTAGATCATCCATGCTGCATAACGCTCTTTGAGGTTATAAAGCACAGAGGCTTCATTAAGGTGGGTCATCATGGCCATGTCCTCAATTTTGTCGTACTTGGGAGGGTTCATGGGACAGACGTCCTCTTCTTTAACTGTTCTCTCCTATAACAGAACATAAGCAAAGCATTTTTTAGCGTGTTGTTAACTCTTTTACATGGTTTTAACTAACCTCCTGAGTGTCCAACACAGTGACTGTGACTTTGTTACCGTCCTTCTTGATGATTTTAGCCTTGAGGTACAGCTCTTTGACATCAGCCACGTAGCAGGCGCTCTTGGCATCAAAGGGAGCACTTTGAGCCTCAATCCTCTCCTTCTCTGGTTTACGAAGGTAGACGGCCGCCTTGCCGTAAATCTGCATCTCCGCGTCCGTACTCATGGTGGCGGTTGTTTTCTGCTTGAATAAAAAGAAGAACACAAGATATTGACAGCAAATATTAAAATCTACAAGTAAGTAAGTATTCTTTATTTGTATATCACTTTTCACAGACCAGAATCACAAAGCTTTTTGCAACTGTTGTGGGTATTTGTCCTCACTCCACACAGAGATGAGAGTGGAGTCGGTGCTGGTCCTGTCGGAAACTCCCGAACCCAGTTGTGGACATCAGTAGAAAGGGATGCCGTCTGCCTAAAGAAGAAGTCTGATCGAGCCATGATGGTTGGTGCGACTCATGAGGCAGCTGTCGATTACCGGCAGGCCAAGCAGACCGCGGCCCGGGGCTGTTGCAGAGGCAAAAACCCGGGACTTTGAGTAGTTTGGAGAGTCCATAGAGCATGACTATTGGTCGGCCTCGAAGAGATTCTAAGTAGTTATTTGCCAACACCGTGTTCGGTGCGGGTGGAGAGCTGCTGACATTGATTGGGGATATTGTTGGGCGGTGGAAGGATTACTTGGACAGGCTTCGGGAGTGGATAAGATCCTTCCTGACTATCTAAAGTCTCTGGATGTTGTAGGGCTGTCTTGACTAACACGTCTCTGCAACATAGCGTGGCGCTTGGGGGCGGTGCCATTGGAGTGGCCGACCGGGGTGATGGTCACCACCACAGGGGGACCGGAGGGTGTGTCCAATTATCGTGGGATCACACTCTTCAGCCTCCCTGGGAAGATCTACTCCAAGGTACTGGAGAGGAGACTGCAACCAAAGTATGGTTTTTGTTCCCCCCGCAGAAAATTCTGATTCTGGTTTTCAGAGCTTTGCATGGCCAGGGCCTATCTTGAGGGGGAGGATGAGGAGCTCAGTCACATGGAAGGAGCTTGGAGTAGAGTAGCTGCATCTCAACATCGAGAAGAACCAGTTGAGGTGGTAACAGATGCCCGAACCACCTAAGAGCCCATAGAAGGAGGCATCTAAGGCATCATCCTTAGTCAATTCCATATGCGCTACAGTTTAAAAAAAGTTAATTTAATAACTTTTATTAAATTAATAACTTTATTTAATAATAAGATATAATTACCGGATATCTTTTCTGCAGTGAAACTCTGAAATGTGCCTGAAATGTGCGTTAGTGTTTGAGGCAAGTATGTATTTGTATTGGGAGTAATAGGATTGTTGTTCCCTATTAAATAAATGTTTTCTTTAACTTAGCACATAACCCAGTAGCTTGGCCACACACAGACAGATGTTCCATGCTTTTACAGATAGATGAAAGTAAGTTCACAAATAAGATAAGATAAAGTCTTCATTTGTTCCACAGTGGGGATATTTCAATGGCAGACATCAAACAGGATCGATTATTTAAGCTAATAGGTTATTAAATTAAATGCAACCAATCTCCATAGCTATAATCGCACTTGGTTCATGAATAAGTACACCAGTGAGTACACACTGCAGTGAGCAGCATCATGAATGTATTTACAAATGTTTATAATAAACTTAGGGTTAGGGAACTTTTATATTGATTTAGCATAGTGGAATAAACAATCCTGTATTTATTAGATCCTCCTGGAACAAAATATCCAAAGATTTTGTGATATTTTGTACCACATTTTGTATTCTTATTTTTACTGCACTTTTAAGCCAAATTTGCATGAATGTTTAGCCATGGTTTTATTAACACTAAGCAAAGGAATATGTGAGAAAACTTTGAAGCTGAATACAGGTCTGATTTAGGTCAGTCTGTCAAACCAAACCTAAGAAACCTGAGTCCTAATAATTGACAAATAGATGTGCAACACTACAAACAGTTAATCTGAAATAGCTTTTTACAACTGAAAAACAGTTTGGAGCTGATTTTGCATGAGCTGACTCGCATCCAGTGGGAAACTCCAGTCCTACAACAGTATTTCCCAATTGTTATGAGTTGTGGCACATTTTCAGTAAAAACAATAACATGGCACACAACAGCTGAAACTGATGCAAAAATGCAATTCTTCTGTTCACACTGGAAAGTCTTTCTTATCAAAGTGTTTTATATCAATAATCAAAAAAGCACAGGAAAGTCTGTCTAATCTTCTTAATTATTTTTGTTTTACATTATTTTGAACAATTAGGGGATATTGGAGTATATCCAAAGGCACACCAAGCAACATCTCAAGGCACACTAAGGCCAAACTTTAAAAGGATGATTCCAACTTTCAGACCCTGGCTTTGCTTGGCCAGGGTTCTCTTATGTCAGGGATCTGATCCAGCCTTGCACCCCTGCTCTTGCCCTGAGGGCTGTGTATCAGAATCTCCGGATGGTTCTGCACACTTGTTTTGTAATCGTAGAAATTCTGACTCATATTAACCCATAGACGAAAAATTCTGATTTCAGAGCTTTGCGTGGCCAGGGCCTGTCTTACATCAGTGATCTGATTCACCCTCACACTGTTGCTCTGGTTTTGAGGTCTGAATCTCCATATGGTTCCACACACTCATTTCTGGACCTGGAATGCTTTCCAGCTGTAACTCCCATTTGGAACAGTCTTCCCCACTCTCTGGGTTTAATAACATCTTAAGATATTTCTGTTTGCACCGGCTTTTCTTGGGGCTTCTATAATTGTCACCAAGAGCGTTGCTTGCGCAGAAAAATGGAAAATAAATTCTTGCATTTTGCATCCTGCTAGAGTGTCACCTTCAAAATGTGTATGTAATTTTTAAACTTAAGTGGATGTAATTGTGAAGCGATTAGTGACCCTGGTCTGTGAAATGTACTATATAAACAAAGTTGTTTACTTACTTACTCACTTAGAGTCATACATTCAATTTAAGGACAGGGAAGTAATCTTACCTCACCCTTGGCTGTGCTGAGATGATGTAATGTTCCTAATTTCTGTAAGAGTATTAAAGCAAATTTAAAAAGATTTTCTTTCTTTTTTTACACACAATTAATTAACACTAAATATTCTCATGCAAACAGGAACTCTTACCAGCTGTCCCAAGTGGCTGACAGTAACTGCATGGCTCTGATCTCTCTTTATATCTATTCAGCATTGCTGACACGCCTCAAGTTAAAACGGGACTCCTATCAAATTAGGTATGTATCATAGGTATGTATCAGAGTTGATGAGATGTAATCTGACCAATTACGAAAAAGATATGTTAAAAGTGATTCAGCAACTACGTTTTTCTTTCTTTTATTTTTTTTATTTTTTTATTTGTTGAACACAATTTTTTGTTGGCAGCTTTTGAACTGAGTTCTCAAGTTTCATCTTAGTTTTATGAGTGGATATGGTTTTCCATGAATATGATGACCCAGGCTATTTCTGGGTATTTCCTGCCAGATGACAGCATGGTTCACAGTCAATATACAACATATATAGATGTTGAAAAGATTTAAGTCTATAAAATAACATTTTTTGTAATCTTTTGCATATGTAGGCTTATGGAAGAGGAAGGTGAGAGGTTGTAGCTCAATATACAGATATAAAAGAAATGATTAAAGATAAAATGTGGTTTTCAATAGTATTCAGCCCTCACAAGTTCATATAATGTTATATGAGGCTTTTTATTCAATTATGTCTTCGCCTTTTGGGGTTGGTTTTCTAAAACTTTCATTGAACATAGGGGTATTTTGATCAAGGGTTTGTGAGTGTGAAAGTGATTACATTACATTTGAGCAAACTGATGTATTATGCACATGTATTTTAAAACCCAGGGAAGTACAGCAGCTATTATACGTTGCACATTCAATGTAGCACCTGCAGGGTTAAATATAACGCCTGGAGTAGAGGTCTATCATTATAAGTTTCCAAAGGAAGATGCTGATTTTACAGGATATTGCTTTTATTTTAAAGATATTTTAAAGAATAAAATAGATATTTTGAAAATATGTCAGGTGGATTTTATGGTTGTATTACAGGTCAGCCCTATTGGATCAAATCCTGGAATTTAATTGCCCACTTAATAAATATGTGACTTATACAGAGACAGTTTTCATGCCAAAACAAGGGGGAGTAGCGATTGGCGGTCCATCCATCTCCCAAATCCATTTGGTCAGAGCTGCACTCACTCACTGATCACTGATGCTCCTGCAGGGGGTGCCCACAGGAGGATGGCTGCTCTGTCGGTGAGAGCATACCCTTGATTTTTCAAGCAGGGGCTTTGGGCAAAGTGTAAGTAAGTAAGTAAGTAGAGAGTAAGTAAGTCAAGAGGATCTGCTGCAGTTCAAACCGAGCATCAGAATGGGGAAGAGAGGTGATTTAAGTGAGTTTGAACATGGCATGGTTGTTGCACGGTGGCTGAGTGGATAGCACTCTCGCCTCTCGGCAAGAAGGTCCTGGGTTCGAACCCCGGTTGGACCAGGGCCTTTCTGGGTGGAGTTTGCATGTTCTCCCCGTGTCTGCGTAGGTTTCCTCCAGGTGCTCCGGTTTCCCCTGCCACTAAAAATATGTACAATAGGTCTGGCATGTGCCTCCTGTACTGGCACCCCCACTCCCAAAAAAACAATTGTAAACCGCTTTGAGACTCTGATGTGCAGTGAAAAGGCGGTATATAAATAAAGATTACTTACTCACTTACTTACTCTAGGGTTTACAGAGTGGTTTTCCAGTGAGTGGCAGTTTGGTGGGTGAAGATGCCTTGTTGATGCCAGAGGCCAAAGGTGAATGGCCAAACTGGTTTGAGCTGATAGAAAGGCAACAGTTACTCAAATAAGCACTTGTTACAACCAAGGGATGCACAGAACACGTTAAACCTTGAGGCAGATGGGCTACAGCAGCAGAAGACCACACTGGGTGCCACTCCTGTCAGCTAAAAACAGAAAACTGAGGCAACAATTCGCACAGGCTCACTGATCAATTGGACAATAGAAGATTGGAAAAAGTTGCCTGGTGTGATGAGTCTCGATTTCTGCTGCGACATTCGGATTGTGGGGTCAGAATTTGGAGTCATCAACATGAAAGCATGGATCCATCCTGCCTTGTATAAACGGTTCAGGCTGGTGGTGGGGGTGGAATGGTGTGGGGGATATTTTCTTGGCACTCATTGAGTCCCTTAGTACCAAATGAGCATTGTTGCCCCGCCACAGCCCACCTGAGTATTGTTGCTGACCATGTCCATCACTTTATTACCACAGTGTACCCATATTCAGATGGCTATTTCCAGCAGGATAAAACACTTTGTCATAAAGCTCAAATCATCACAGACTGTAGTTCACTGTACTGTAATGGCCTCCACAGTCACCAGATCTCAATCCAGAGAAACTTTGGGATGTGGTGGAACAGAAGATTGGCATCACGGATGTGCAGCCGACAAATCTTAAGAAACTGCATGTTGCTATCAAATATGGACCAAACTCTCTGAGGAATATGTCCAGTACCTTGTTGAATCTATGCCACAAAGGATTAAGATTTTTGCAAGCAAAAGGGGGTCCAGCCCGATACTGGCAAGCTGTACCTAATAAAGTATTTGTTCACAAAGCTGCACCAAAAGTTTATTTTATTATTGAATAGTACTTCTGCATTGGTGAATACTTTAACAGCACTTGTTTACAGTCACGAAATAATGAGAACTCAGGCTGGAATTAAATGTTCACAAGCACTGTGTCCCCCATTGTCAGTCCTGGTTTAGCTCTTGTTTTGGCTATTTATGAGTATTTTCAGTTGTCTTGCTCAGACCGGTTGTGTCTTCATTACCACTTTGCGTGTGGCTGGCAGAAAAGTTCAGCAATGTCCATCTTCTGCGTCAGGTTGCTGCAACACCGTCTCCGCCGCACAGTCTGTGCGTGCTGCGACGCACATGCAATTCCTTGCTTGAACGAACGTCACCATTGACTTTGCATTGAAAGTCGCCGCAACGCATGATCCGGTCTGAACGCCCCATAAGGTTAACTGAAGCTCTAGTTTCCCCAACCACTAATAACATGTACAATAGTTCAGGGTGAATGAGTGTGTGTTTGTGAGTTTAAACAATAAATAAATAAAATAAATAAATAAACCTGACATTGTGGTAGAAAAGGGCAGAGGTGGTGGATGTGGCAATTCCAAGAGATGGTAACATCAGAGAAAATGGGCACAAAAAGCTTGAGAAATAACAAGGGCCCATAGAGGAGCTGGAGAGGGCCTATAGTTTCCCACCCCTGACTTGGACAGTAACCTGCCTAATAAGTACTTCAACTGTAGCCTTATAATTTGTTTTTCTTTTTTTGAGAGACTTGGAGATTGTTTTGAGTGGCAGGCTCAATGCGAATGATGATTATCATACCTCTGTTTCAAGCAAGGCCGTACTGGATTACATAGTAGCACCCTATGATAGTAAATGGAGACCCAGAATGTTTGAAACTTCCTCAGGCTGGGGTTTGTGGAGGAACATTCAAAAACCCTCTGTGCAGAGTGTGTCTGATGTTTAAGTATGTGAATTCACATGCACAGTGACTCTGTGTATTTACAGTAGCTTTTTTCTGATGATGTCATGCTCCTGGTTGAAACATAAGCGGACTTTCAAATTTGGTTAATTTTGAGATGACACCCTCATCACACCTCTGTGAATTCTTTCCACTTACTGGCCACCACCAACACCCTGGACCACAGGTGGGAACCCCTCCTATTGGTAGATCTATAGTTGTAATTAAAATACCGTTGCAGCTCATTCTCCCCCTGCCCTGTGTTCTTCTTTCCCGAGGAACTTTGTTACTTGCACCTGTGGAGCTGCACACCTGCAATAAAAAAACCATTAGACTACATTCAAAAGATTGTTCCATCACATCAAGTGTGTCCTCGGTGTATTCAGTTCTCTGTCATCTTCACCTACAATAATCCATCTACTACATCTACCTCCAAGAAACTAATCCACCATCTACTTTAAATAACATTCTGTAACTTACATTGTTCGGGCATAAATGAGATTAAACATTCATTCAGCAAGTGACATTCCATAATGCTCTGATTGAATGTTATTGCAACCATGTATAGAAATAAATACATAAATAAGTATGACGGTGTGTGCCTTGACCTGTGATATTTTCAAGTTCAGTGATGTTAAGTGACAATTCATTACAATGTGTCTTGCTTGGTTAAGCACAAAGACATTAAGGTAGTTTCCCTAAGGTACTTTCACTGCATGTTCACTAACAAAGGCCAATTAATTATATTTGTAAAAAAAATAGAAAAAAAGGTATATTTGAAAAGCAAACTCACTTTTTCATTGTTTATTATAATAACACACACACATATAAATAACGTAAAAAAATATATTATATATATATATGTATATACAGAACTAAAAGTAGAGAGTAGTTCTGTGCGCGTTACAGCGGCGTAATTCCCTGTGTGGTCACAGCTGCTGGAGGTGGGAACCGTTGTCCAGAGCGGCCGCAGCTGCCCCAGGTCAGAACAGTGCAGCCACGGATGCTGAATCCCGATCCAAGGCAAGGCAAGTTTATTTATATAGCACAGTTCATACACAAGGCCATTCAAAGTGCTGATACACAAGGCAATATAAGTGTATATATACATTATATATATATATATATATATATATATATATATATATATATATATATATATATATATATATATAATATTAGGGCTGTCATAATTATTGAGTTTTTTTGACACGTGCCAAATGACGCACCCATGTTTGCGGCAACATGCATGTGTAAGATGGCAAAGGTGCACTTCCTTCAGCTAAACTTAGACAAAACTGAAATGATTGTCTTTGGTCCCCAGAAACAAAGAGAGAGCATCATTTGTCACCTACAGTCTCTCTCCCTAAGACCTTCAAACAAGGTCAGAAATCTAGGGGTAATACTGGACTCAGACTTAACTCCACTTTGCCTGAAGCCCCCGCTGAAAGATCAAAGCTCCTGTGGACTCACCACCTGCAGGAGGATCAGTGAGGGGCTGGTGCTCAGTGAATCGGGTGGCATCTCTGATTGCTATTGATAAAATATGGCATATTTGTGCCGATAGTTCGATATGCGATTAATTACGCTTAATTAATTTGTAAGCTGTAATTAACTCGATCTTTAATTTTTTTTTTGTATCGTTTTTTAATCAATTGACAGCCCTATTAGATATATATGGAGGAGTGGTAACGTCAGATCCCTGGAACAACCTAGGAAATCTCGGTCCAGAAATGTGTAGTGCTAGGAACAGCAAAGATACTGCACAGAACCCTCAAGCTCCCAGGCCTCTGGTAGAGGACCCGAGCTTAGAGAGGGATAACCGCCCGCGGAGGGCCAAAGGTGTGTTTAAATGTATATATATATATATATATATGGGTGAGTGTGTGTGTGTCCCAGACTACTTCAGTTTAGCAAGGCAGAGGGCCACATAAAAGGACTCAGAGGGCCATTTAGATTCCTGCCAAGAATGGTGGAAATTAAAGAATGTCAAGGACATGTTTTATACACTATGTGTTTTTACAAATAGAACATTACCAAAAGCTGCATTGTTACATTGTAACAGTTGGCCAGATAGCAGCATGTCATCATTATACTTTGGACACTCTTCTATCAAGCCGAGCATCAACATCTGGAGATAGGTCTCAGGGCACTGCAGCACACCAACCACTGCTCCTGACCGTTAAATAATTGTAATTTAACTGGAAAATACTTGATTCATTAAATGTATCGTTAAGGGCTGATTATCAGTTGTTGGCCAACATATGTTTCTCATTCCAATTTTTTCTCCTATTTTTGATATAGGCAGCAACATAGCGCCCTCAGTAAACTCACTTGTTACTTCAAGGAGAGGAATGGGGACCTGTGGCATAACTGTCTTTGCTTGGTAAGCAAAAGTTAAACCTGGGACCCATTCCTTTTATGGCGGGTGTCAAACAACTGGTGCTTGCAACACGAGAAGGTCCTTACAGCACATCTTGTTTCAGGTCAACTGATAGAAGATTTACATAATCAAATGTCATTACATTTTGTGTAATGACAAATACATTAATTCATTGTATTATATTATTATAGTAATTCAAAAATACTACCCACCAAAATTCAAATAGCTCCCTTCAAATCCCTAATATTTTTAAACTGTTGTGTCTAAAGAAGTATTTTTACTTATACTCATCTGTACTCTAAATATATTGATTATCATTGTGTGTTCAAATGTGCATATGGGCTTTTCAAATTTGTATTATTACAATGAAATTGATTATAGAGTGCAGATCAGTTTAATGTCAAGTATGTAAGTATAGATGTGGCAAATAGCTAGGCTCTTCACATTCAGGACATTAATACGGGCACTGCACATAGTTTCAAGTCCATGTATGGATCTGGGCTGATCACACCAGTGCACATGTTAATGCCAGTCTTTTTCTGGCTGATGACCAAAGAGGTGTCAAAATGCAGTGTGTGCAATGATCGTTTTCCAACAGATTTGTCATTATACAGACATTGACCAAAATGACAAAAAAAACAATTAAAGCCTATGGCGATTTTTGCATCAATCAAGAAATGACATGCGACTGAGAGTTAGAGGCTACCCTTGCTTCAGCTTGTTAACCTGGGACTCTGTGCTGTCGGCACACTTCACCTTGAGCTGCAGCTTATCAACCAAATCCTGGAGCCTGGTGATGTTCTTCTTGTCCTCTTCTGTCATGAGCGGAACAGCGAGGCAATGGTTATTGTTTAGAAACAAGGAAGGACATATAAATGTTAACATCTGTATGTGATTCACACGTCTAGTAGGTGAGCTGTTTCTCTCCTCTCATGTTTGTGGACACCTATACCAACGAATGCTCCTCCATATCATGTTGAGAAATGAAGTTTAAAAACTTTTCTGTTTGATTTGTATTCTAGTCTTAGCAAAGACTTAAGTTTCTGGAGCTGCTTTTGTCCTCAAAGGCTAGATTCAGAACAAAGACCAAAGTGATGTCACTCTTCGCTTTCTTCTCAGAATGTCCTGCTTCTTAAAGAGTGTCATTGACCACACTCTGGAACCAGATCATCCTCAAGCTTCTTTCAGTGTTTAATAATGTTCTGTAAAATTAAATATAATTATAGTAACTGAAATTCCAGTTTCAATATGGAAATTTTGTTCTCTGAAATACAGAGATCAATTTTAAATGTAAGTGTTTAGCAATATCAGTGTCAATAATTATGCATTTGGTTTTAAAAGATGTCGTTCGTCATTCTGCTATTGTTGCAAACACATACAGGGAGGATTGAATCGAAATTAGAAGGAAAAACAAGAACAACATGTGACAGATAGAACATATGGTGTCACTTCTGTACGGTATGCATTGCTAAAATCTGTGGCTATTATAACTATCATGACATAAAGGGGCCACTATGCTTGGCTGAAGTGGTGGTGTTAGAATGATTATGTACTTTTCATGGTGGCTGTAGGGAAGAAATGCTTACATACAATGTGATAAAATGGTCCAACTCTGCCCATTTTTTTTAATTCAAAAGTATGCATTTAGTCAGGCCGGAGTTGAACTTACCACTAACTGGAACACTTCTTCAGCTACTCCCCAAGGGCCTTGCATACTCCTTATATTCTGTGTTGGGTGCTTACAAAGCAGAATTAGATGCCAAATATGGGTTGTGAGATACCCGAGTACATTAGCAAGAGGAATGTCTGGCCTCTTCTAAATTTAGAGAATGCGTTGTAATTTTCAAATGACATAACTTGTATTTATAATTAATGTGACTTTGTTATAGGCTTATCTAACAGAGTAAAGTTCCATTATAATGAAACTGAACTGAACCGACCAAATGTAAATCTTATCTTTTTGATTGATAAAGACCAAACACCAGTTACACATGTTTAGGGCTGGGGAAAAGTATGGAATTAAACTATTTATTTGATTTTCATTTTAAATGTGACATGGGATTTTTCTAGACAATGGAAAACTGAAAAGGTGCTCATGGCATTTAGCTTGATTAATGAAATAAAATAAGCAATTGGTTCTGCACAGTAATAAGTCATTGACTTTCTTGTAGCATATTGGCCAAAGATTAGGCCAATAGGCTACAAGCTCTATGTCAAGGTCAACTTTATTTATATAGCACATTTACAATACCAGCTGCCCAAAGTACTTCACAGGCACGAATGAAAAAAATAAAATAAAACTGCATAAAATACATACACATACATGTAAAAGTAAAGTGGTAAAGCTCAATTGGTGTTAAAAGCCAGAGCGTAAAAATGTGTCTTTAAACTAGACTTAAAAACTTCCAATGAAGAACCTGCTCTGATGAACAGATGATCCACAGTTTGGGGGCAGCAACAGAAAAGGCTCTATCAACCTCAGTGAGACTCCTGTACATATTCTCTGCTTTTGACACACAGGGCTTTATGAACACGGGATATATGCCAAAGTTTTCAATAGATTCATTTGCTACGATGCACAAGTGTGGAGCGGCACCTGTGAGGGGACCGTATGTCGGTTCCCAGAAGACAGAGAAGAGTCTTGGACACATCTCTCTCTCTACACGAGCTGGACACCCACAGAAACAGCTTCTCAATGCACTAAAATAATTGCAGATGATACTGGGGAAAGTGGGAAATTAGAATACCATTCTAACGAGATATTTGTTTTTTGTTTTTTTACAGAATGTGGGAATGCTTAAGTAATGAATCATAGACATTCTGATAGATTTGCTGACATCAAGTTATTTGGAGCTCTCATGTACAGTTTGGTTCATTTGTGGAGATATGAAAGCACCAAATAACGCCGGTCCACTCCCAGATCAGTGTCATCAAAATATAAATATAAATACACACAAACCACTGTGTGTGAATATGGTTTGAATGGTTTTCAAGAGTTGGTGCTCATTTGTCAACACTTGTTTTATGGCTAGATTTAATGACACACACATACAGTATATACATATTTGTATTTCAATATGTCCATTCCTGGCAAGCCTGCCATAAAAGTGTAGGCCCACACTTTCTCGTTGTAATGGGATAGCATAAGAAGCTATGTCTTGCATGGGGTGTGTGCTGCCCACATGCTCGTGAAACAAGACTGAAGACTCCTGACAGGCATATTAGTGCTTACTTGAAATTCAAAGACTTCCCTTTGCAAAATGCTAAGCAGTTATCACTACAACAAGAATCCTCCATCAACAACATGTAAATAAAATATATCATAAGTTTGTTAGACCCGCCTGTGCGTTTTTGGTTTTAAGTGAAAGTTAAAAAAAAGTTGAAGTCAAACTTGAGCTTGGCCATGCCTTTCTCTAGTAAGTTCCACCACCATCGATGAGTGAGTCAGCTTGGGTTTGAGATTATCGATGACAAAAAAACAACGTCTGCGATATAACTAACTTAACATCATTCATGTTAACTGGGTAGTCAAATACTCAATTTGTTTGTGCACTTACCATATGGAAAAACAATTTGCAATCACGAGAATAAAAGATGGATTAATCTTGACACAACATGACTTAATGTGTTGGTAGAAAATGTCTTGCATGAGTCATGAAAGTTTAATCCTTATTGCCACACATTTTGTTGTTATTATTATTAACATTGTTTGCATGCATTGTCAGTTGGGGATAGAAAATGCTTTGGGGAAAAATTTGGTGATAAGCAAATTCTTTTTTTCCAACAAGCAACACCTTGGAAAGGAAGTAGTTATCAAATTGTTAAAGACTGAAAAAGCATTTCACTGAGGACAGCAAAGAATCATCTCTTTTTGTTTATCTATTAAAAGGAACCACAAATCAAAAATGTCCAATTTCTCTCTAGCACCGGTGAGATTATTTCCTCAATATTATCGTGTTATCCCGCAGAGAGAAAAAATGTATAACACTGGTCACTGAATGTAAGACATGGTTTTCTGGAGAGAAAACAAATATTCCTCGCTGTTTTTTGAGAAGGAACAATGACGTTTGGCCAAGAAATCTCAAAGTTTTGTCCAACTGAAACTTACATATTGTCGGTCATTTATGAGATAATCAGTTGATGAAAACCCATTAGACGTGAACAAATCCATCTAATAAAGTCAGAAAATGAAATGAGATTTGAGAAAACGGTTTAATCTCGCATAAGCTAGTTTTAGGATGATGGATGTTTTAAATACCTAAGAAGATTAAATTGTATGGAAATGACAGTCACAAAATCCCATTTGCCAATATCATTTATCTCCCACTGGCCAACTTTACTCATGTACAGAAGTAGTTTATCAAAATTGGTGAAAATTCATATTGGACATATAGTTGCGCAACACACAATACATTAGTTACATTAATGTATATATGGGGCGAGAGTAGCTCAGTTGGTAGAGCACTGGCCTTTAGGCCTGAAGGTCGTGGGTTCGAGCCCACCATAAGACCTACTTCACGACTCCCACTGATGACTGCTGTCGTTGTGTCCTTGGGCAAGACACTTAACCCCACTTTGCCTGAAGCCCCCACTGAAAGATCAAGGCTCCTGTGGACTCACCACCTGCAGGAGGATCAGTGAGGGGCTGGTGCTCTGTGTACTGGGTGCAGCTCTGACTGCCACCCCCCCGACCCAGAAATGGATTAAGGGGAAGAAAATGGATGGATGGATGGATAATGTATATACGTCCCAATCTAACGTATCTTTTACAGACCACAAGTGTAACGTTTCGGGCTAAGATAAGAGTTACTTTTATTTGTCCCACAGTGGGGATATTTCGTTGTTGCTGCGCACATACAGGACAGTAGTAAGAGCACACAGGGATCACACAATATACAAAATTAGCAGTAGCTATGTTTCTTAACTAGCATAACTGGCTGTAGATGCTGAAAATGCTTCAATACCAGTCAACAAATATATACATGTAGTAGTAATGCAGTTATATACTGTACAGTTAAATAGTGCAGGATAATAAGTAGATGAGGTAAAGTGACATTTGTATGTAAGAAGTTGTTTATATTAACAACTTCTTACAAACAAAGTTGAATTTTTACAGGTTTTATTCAGAGTCAGGATTCAGGACAGTTTAGTTCTGTGTGCGCGCTGTTCTCCGGATGTGTACCTGAATCGCATTACATTTACTAACTAAATACATCATCACGAAAAACACATAAGAGATGTGCTACAGATCACAATTGGGATAATAGTTTTGGTGTTGTAATATTACAACTCAGAGCATGTGTACTCAAATCTCAACCTCACTCAATTACAATTATTCAATTTCTGAATGTCGACACAAGAGGAGTTAGCTCGTGTATGCTAAGTTACTATTGGAAATGTGTATTCTACATCTGACCCACCCTTTAATGCCATTAGCATAGAGCGGGACCCATCTCCGGACGCTGATACTCGGCTTGTTCAGGAGTACTGGAGCTCAAGTTGCGTGTCACGATGCACCCAAAACATTGTTTCAAGTCTTTCATTCATGACAAGTTACGAGAGTTTAGGACACATGTTGAGAGGTGGGACACATGTTGAAGGACCACATTTTAAAACAATAAGATAGGACTTTATTGATCTTACACAGGAGAAATGTAATAACAATAATAATAATACATCGGTTTTATGTAGCGCTTTTCAAGAACTCAAAGACGCTTCACAAATTCATGACACACACACACGTTTAGACAGACACACGAAACTAAAAATCTAAGAGTGGGAAAGAAGGGTATAAAGTTTAAACTAAGAGTCATATGCTTGGA